TTTGCATTCAGAAAGGAGCAGACTGTGGAGCGAAGGTAATACTTCTTTATCATAGTGAATCTTTAAATGATATTTCTCTGTCAGTGTAAACATTCCGGGTTGAAACCTAGCTTGTTAGAGTGATTTGAATCTTGTAGAACCATTCATCTGTCTAAAGTAACTTGTCCCACATCCTTTTTCTTTTCTTTAGTTGGCAGCACTTGACTCTAGGAGTAATTTTCTATATTTGTCAGCCACAGTGAGAGTTTAAAATATGTGGGGGAGTAAATGATTATTATTAGACTTGGGATAAATTTATTAAAAACAAGTAGTGTTCAGTTGGTTAACCTATACTTTTTTTCAATGACAGTTATTCGAGAGGTAAGAGCAAGATGATAGGAATAGCAAATTTTGACTTCATTTAGGGATTTGACACAGTATCATGATATTCTTACGAATAAAATAGAACTTCGTGATTGAGGATAAGGATGTTTAAGGAAATTAATACTGCTGGGATGAGCACTGGCATACTGATAATGTGGATGCAGCTGTGGAGTGCTGTGTGGTGCCTGCTCTCGACATTGTCCTTTTCAACCTTTTTCAGTTGCATGGGATGGGCTGGGGAGCTAGCGCAGTAGAATAAGCGTTTGCCTGGCAAGTGCAGGGTCCTGAGTTCAATCCCTGGTACCGCAAAAGATAAATAAATAAATAAATAGATAAATAAAAAAGAATATAATTTTTTATGTTTGAATAGTCTGTTGTATATATGTGTTTTCTTTACCCATTCATCTGTGGATAGACATCTACGTTAGTTCCATAACTTAGTTATCATGAATAGCACAGCAGTCAACATGGTGGCACAGATACCTCGTTCTTACACTGACTTCATTTTCTTTGGAAAAATGCCTGGTAGTTGGATTGCTGGATCATCTGTTAAATCTATTTTTGGTTGTTTGAGAAACTTCTCTGCTGCTTTTAGTGCCTGTACAAATTTACGTTTCCATCAGCAGTGTCTAGGAATTCCCTTCTCACAAGCATTTGTTTTTTTAATATAAGCCATTCTAACTGGAATGAATATAAAATAATAAGGAAATAGAAAATTACCCTAACTTGATCACACATTTAAACATGAAATATACTGTACCTTATAGATATGTACAGTTACATGTTAATCAAAGTTTTTTAAATGTTGAGATGGAAATTCATATAACTTAATCATTATACAATGTGTACATATCCCAGAAGTATATATAGTTAATTTTAAAATGAAAAAACAGAGGGACCGAGATTTGATCCCCAGCATGTAGTGCTGGCCCTGCCCCTGGGGCATGCTGAAACCTAGAGTAAGTGTGGGCTTGGTGGTGTGCGCCTGTAATCCCAGCACTTAGGAGGTTGAAAACAGGAGGATCACTGAGTCTGATCTGTGTAGTGAGACCCTGTAGACCCTGTACTAAATACATAAAAAAAGAAAAAAAAATGCATTTCAATGTAGTTGTGGATATGAATGAGATAAATCACCAAAAATAGCATAGTCTCTGTGTGCAAGCTTATGCCAGTGAACAAAGGAAATGTAATAAGAATGAAACAAATTTGCCTTTGTCTTAAAATGTTTTGTGAAACAGCAGAATAATTTGAAAAGTTGTTTGAACCTCTCCCTACTTTCTATTTATTTATCTCCTATTTTGCTTTGTTTTACCCAGAGAATTTCCCTTATTAAAGAAATCGTGCAAAAAGTTTTGTGATTTTATTTGGTTTCTTCTTTATAAATCTTTTTTGCGTATGACTTGTATTCTGAATAGCATTTTGGCCATTCCTTTAAGATCATGATCCAGAAGTATTTCTTTTCTTTTCTTTTCCTTTTTTTTTTTTTTGCATTTACAGAGCAGATGGGCCATTTATTGGTATCTGAAAAGGTTTCCTTTAAATGCGTTTTTCTTTAAATCGCAGAACCCTTTAACACCAAACTCTCACCCACTGGAATGGAAATGGGCTCAAACTTTCCATTGATCACAGGTTACTCATGATCAGAAGCCAAGTCTTTGAGTTAAATAAATTGAAGAAATCGGTCCTGCTACAACACAATAATGGAAATAAGAGTAACATTCTTGCTTTTACACCAAAACGTCTTGCTACCAGAAGCTGACAATCTCTAGAGTAGCACAAAACGGCTTCCCACTGTCTAAAGGCACCATCATTTAGTTACTAGTACTCAGTTCTGGGAGGACAGGAGCGACTCTCCCCACCTCGCCCTGTGACCTGCAGTTGAGGAGCCAAGTTCTCGAAAATCCTCAACTGGATGACACACCTGTCTATGGGGAGATAGCTCAGTAGAGTAAGTGCTTGCGGGCCTGAACAACAACAACAAAAAAAACAAAAACACTCTCAGAGTGCCAGCGTCAGGCCTGTTCCCCAACCTGATGAGACATCTGGGGTGACAGCGAGACCTTACTGGGCATCCGGATCAAAGTCATCGCGCTCCTCATTATACTCCAGCACACATCGCTTGATTTTTTAGAAGAGTCGACCCAGGTGACAAAGTCCTCCATGCTGCATGTAACAAGGAAGGCGGGGTCTGTCACAACATCTGGGCCCAAGCGCACATGGCCTTGCTCCACAAAGGCCACAGCAGCCTGGAGATGCTGCGCCATGCGCAGCTTGAGAACAGTGGGCAGGCGGCGGCGGACGAAATCGCAGAGCTCCGCGGGTGGGCACCGGGCCCAACGCATAGAGCTTGTTCAGCGGCGCAGCAGAGGCTGCATGCGGAAGGGTCGTGCTGGGGCAGGTCGTGCAGGCGCCGCGCCACTTCGCGCACCCTCCAGCGGCTCAGCTGGTTGTACTTCGTGTAGTCCTTGGGCCACCACCGCTGCAGCCGGTAGTGCCCTAGCACACGCATTTCGTGGAGGTTGTGGTAACTTCCCAGTTTAGGAAATCCATCTGCTTCAGTAGCTTCTGCTTGTGGAACTTCATCTTCCACACCATGATGGCAGCCGTTCAGGAAGTAAGACCAGAAAGTATATTAATGATTGTTATTCTCTGAATATTTTGTTTGGATATTTTATTTTATATTTTCATACTTTTTATTACTACTTGTATATCATTAAAGAAAGTTCATACCAAAATCACTTTCAAATGGAATGCAAAGTTAAATATAATAATGAAGTTATAAAGATGTTAGAAGAATTTCTTCTTCTTTTTTTTTTTTGGTGGAACCGGGGATTGAACTCAGGCCCTTGTGTTTGCTAGGGAAGCCTTATTCCACTGAGCCATCTCCCCAGCCCCAAGTTTCTTATTTTGATGTGATAGGAAGACAATTCTGCCAAAAGCAGAAAACTTCTGATGAAAACAAACTACACACAAAATTAAATATCTAGATTTAAAAAGAAGACCTGTCAGGAGAGACATATCGTGTTCTTGGTTGAAGATTTTTTAAATTACAATATGTTGCGGCTGGGGAGATAGCTCAGTTGAATGGGCCTGAGTTCAACCCCTGGCTTGGCAAAAAAAAAAAAAAAGTAAATTATAATATGTCATTTCTCTCAAAATTAATCTACAAATCTAACAAAATTATATCTAGAGTTGAAATCTTAAGGTTATCATTATGAGCTTTGAAAACTTTAATAGGTCTAGTAAGACCTTGTGATTCTGAAAATAAAGAATTGGTTTCATATATTTAAGATACCTGTCTAATCTGGAGTATGTATAGGGTATAATTATTTTAGATTGGTACTAACCTGTAGTAAAATATAGTATATTGGGTCATAAATTGCTATGAAAGTTAAACAAGCCCCCCAAAATAAAATACTGTATTTCTGATATGTTCCACTTGGTATCTCTCTTTTTAAAATAGAAAATTAATGTTTCTCTGCTATAAGCTTCGTAATCAGTTTATAAAGACTGTATGACTAGAGAATGGTGAGCGTGGAAAGGGCTCAAAGAAGATGTAGTCAACTTGTTTGATGTCAGAAATGATGTCTCTGAGTCCCCATACTTTATAAGTCACAGGATCAAGGCCCTGCATCACATTAGCAGAGCCAGTATTAGAATTCTGTTTCCCACCAATTAGCCTATTTTGTTACATTACAAAGCTGCACTCTTTGGACTAGCTATACATTTACTGTGAAGTAGTGTGCTAACTTTTTTTTATTTTTTTATTTTTTATTTTTTAGGGAAGGGTCCACAGGGTGTTTAGGGTTTCACTACAAGATTGGACTCATAGTGATACACCTGTTTATAGCCTCCCAAGAGCTGGGATTACAGGTGTGAGCCACCATGCCCGGTCTCAAGTGTGCTAATTTTTAACTTTGGTCAGTGCACTAATCACATAGATATGCAAGTGTTGTCATTCTTCTCTATTGCCTTTGTGCCCTTTAGGGTACAGACAGGATCTTCCTTCTTGACTCACTCCCTAGTTCTTTGTGTGGAATTTAATGTAGTATCATTGGAGACATATTCATAGAAAAAACAAAATATGAGTAGACTGACATGTTAGAAATTTACAAATGTTAGAAATCATTTAAATAAGACAAAGTGTTAAAATATAGATAGATTTAAAACAGCTTACTTAGGTAGGCATTGATTGTATGGTAGTAGGATATTTTGTGCTACTTTAATAGGCGTCTGTCATAAGTACAGTAAGTATGTAGTGGAGTGAGAACCTTGAGAAATGACTTGAAGAATCAGATAGTTCACATAAGTATAAAGCTAATAAGATAGGAACCATTGTTAATGGAGAAAATTTTGTAAAGCACTTTCATTAATATTGTTATTTTGAATCCTTTTCAGAATTTCATTTATGGAATATTGAGCTACCCTCTTAATTTTGTACTGCATATCTTTCAGAATAATATAAATGACTTATGGCTTATACAGTTTCCAAATATTGTCTTCTGTAACAGACTTTTATAATACTTGGAGGTGAATAGTTGTCATAGAAGTAAACCTCACCCTTAGATTAACACTTGGGAAATGTAAAGTCTGAATGTGCTTATTTTTATTTTCTAGTGCTAGTTGGGAGAGGTTATGTAGAGATGCTTGTAAAAGAAACCTTGTGTTCAATTTTTTAAAATGAGACAAAGAGGAATGTGTTTCAAAATTCCCTGCCTGGGAAAATACCCACTGTACAATATATGAATTAAGAGGCGGTGATAGGTTGATAGATTCATGATTTATTTAAATAATTTGCTATAGGTTTCCTTTCAGTTTAATCCACTTCCTTTGTTAAAAGTTTGTTTTTATCAAGTGCTATGTGCTTTTCAGGGAGGTAAACAGTGCAGCTGCACAGGAGCCTACATATCCAGTAGCCCCACTTCTCTGGGCTCAGGCCTCTGCACGTATGCCTGCAGTCATAGTGTAAATGAAATTTTCAGTAGTGGCTTTGCTTGTCTGCGAGACAGGGCCTGGTGTTTATTTTCAGAAATCAGTTGCTGAAGAAAATTTTAAATTTATTGACACAATTTCATGTAAACTTAAGATACACTTTTTATTTTAGTTTTTTAATTTTTAAGTAATTTAAGATACACTTTTTAAATTGGGGATAGATTTTTTGAAAATATTCTGAAGCATGCAGAATTGTTAATTGGACAGTACAAACAGAACAGTGGCTTCAGATGTTCATTATTGTTTGAGTCTTATGTTGGCTGTTCATCTCATCTGAGCTTTGACTTTATGTTGGTGTTTGGCTTAAAATGCTTTTGTAATTTTTTCTAAATAATTAACTTGGGTCAGTGATGTTGGGATTAGGGTGGTAGCATATCAGAATCGCCTGTAAAAGTTTAATATTCTTTTCCTTTTTCTTCTGATTTTGATATACACTCTTCTCTCAGTTCCTCACTTAGCCGAGAGGTATTATAAATTATCAATCAAGTCACTGGTATGGAGTTTTCTCAAACAAAATCTGGTTTGCAAAATAGGTTAATATAGGAAGGTCTTTTCGGATTAAAGTGGGAGTAGATGTCCAGGAACCTGCCTGCTTTAAGAATCCTTGCCCCCATCCAGGTCCTTGTAAATCAAGTACAGCACTTTATTCATGAATGAAAAATTAAAGAAATATTATTTTCAAATGCAGTAATGATCTAGGCAATATAAAATAAGAGGCAAAATTGCTTACTGAGGTCTGTGGTCTTGTGAATCCTAGAGAAATGTCTTTTATTCTCAAAGTAAATGTGGTTGAGGAGAAATAATAGCAAAATAAGATATTTAGGAGATACAGACTTCTCGTTTAATTATTCTTAGTCTCGTGTGTTTTTTCTGTCAGCTATATTGGCATCTTTGTATTTCTACCCTGGTTTGGTTAAGTGGTACGTAGGAAGGAGCTGATATACTTCATATTCAGTTAGAAAGTCGTCTGTTAAAGAATATAGTTGATTATCTCAAGTTCAAGATACTTCTAGGTTAATTCCTTAAAGACAATGTAAACAAAATTGTACATACGGTCTTTGACAAATGGCAGATCTCCAAAGGAGCGTTCAGTTATTTTTTTCCCTTTGCATCTCTTTTGCGGGCAGGTGGTAGAGAAGACAAACCCTACAGAACCAGTTGGAGTGGTTTGCCGAGTGGACGGAGTGTACCAGGTGGTAGAATACAGTGAGATTTCCCTGGCAACAGCTCAGAAACGAATCTCTGATGGACGACTGTTGTTCAACGCGGGCAACATTGCTAATCATTTCTTCACTGTACCATTTCTGAGAGATGTTGTCAAGTATGGACAAAATGGGGGCTTTTAACATTTTTATTGTTTTAATTAGAAGCTATTCCTAGTGCTGAGGAGATAGCTCAGTAGGATAAGTGCTTTCCTGGCAAGCACAGGGTCCTGAGTTCAATCCCTAGTACCAAAAAAAAAAAAAAAAAAAAGAAAAAAGAAGCTTTTCCTCTAAAGAGATGGGTAGCCACCCCAAGTCCAAGAAGTCCCAAGTCCATAGAATTGTTCTTATCAAATGTAAATTTGTCTCATGTGATTTTTTAGCAAGATACAGGGTGAAAATTAGTAGTAACTCTTCCCCTAGGCATTCACTAGAGTCCAAAGCATTTCTCTTTTCTTCTTACCCTCCTAGTTTTCTGTTTTTGGGTTTTATGGAAGCTAAAGATAAGAAATAAAACTGTCCTATCAGTGAGAGCATTTTAAAAATAGGTGTTTATCCTATACCAACTGAGTAAGAATTTCTGGAGGTAGATCCGGAGCATGCATATTTTTAAAAAGCTGCCCACACAATTCTAATTCAGCTGTGTGAATCAGTTCTAATTCCCAGAGTGGCATTTAGAATCTAATGCATTAAGGAATAAAGAAAAAGGACTTTAGACTTGCATGAAAATTACCATGGTAGTAACACAAAGTATAAATAGCTGTTTAGCCAATCAAACTTTGAAATGAAGGACATTTTCATTATAAAGTCACTGGATAGCTCTTAGACATTAAAGATTACATACTTTTAAAAGCTATTGAGAGTTAATTTTTAAACTGACTAATAGCTGTATATGTTTATGGGGTACATTGTTGTTTTTATACAGGTATGCATCATGGAATGATCAAATTGGGCTAAGCTTTACTTGATAACTCTAATTTAAAAATATTTTTCATTTTACTTTGCTGCCTATACCTATTATGAGTTCACCGTGACAACTTTCATTTTAGTTAAACCAACTTTTTTTTAATTGAACCAAGGGTCACACAGGTGTTAGGCAAGTGCTCTGCCACTGAGCCACACCCTTAGCACTTAAAAAAAAAAATCTTAATTGTAAGACAGTATCTCATTAAGTTGCCCCATCTGGCCTTGAACTTGGGGTCGTTTGGCCTCACCCTCCCAGCAGCTGGGATAGCAGGCGTGCCTCACCACACCTAGCTCATAGTAACTTTCATTACTTTCCTGTACTGCACTCAAAGAGCTCTCAGTTGGGAAATTTAGGGCTGTGAGTAATTTTAAAAAGACATGGAATTCATAAGGGAGATATTGGCATAAATTCTGGGTGTGTATGTTTGTGTGCGTTCAGTTTTAAATGTAGAAATCATTTAATAAATGATAAATCAAGGAAATAAGTAGGTAATGTATTCACTTATATTTAAATATGAGCTAAAGTGTGAAAGTGCTCTTCATTTTGGAAGTCTTCGTGCTAGTTGATCATGCATTTCCTAAGTGTCAGTTGAGTTTCTGGAATTTTAAATCTGGAAAGTGATTACGCCTTTTTTCCTCCTTAGTGTTTATGAACCTCAGCTGCAGCACCATGTGGCTCAAAAGAAGATTCCATATATGGATTCCCGGGGAGAGTTAATTAAGCCAGACAAGCCAAACGGAATAAAGATGGAAAAATTTGTTTTTGACATCTTCCAGTTTGCAAAGTATGTTTGGAATAGCAACATATGTCTTGAAATGTTGCTCCTTACTTTCTTAGGCAGGAAACTCCTCAGGAAACATGTGACAGCCTATGTCTCAGATAACGTTTGATTGTGAGTGCAGAGTCTCCATTCATTATCATTTTCCAGTGTGCACTGCCACTCCAGGAGTGCGGTCTGTGGTGCCTGTTAGTGCCGTGTTCTTTTTACCAACAGGTTCATTATCTGGCTGTGCTGCAAAGTTGTTAAAAAGTCATTTATCCTTGGGTAAAAGCCTACAGAAAGGATAAGGCAAACAATTGACCCATCTTGTGTTTAGGATATAGGGCTGACCCATGAGTAACCGTTTCAAGGAGTATGCGTTTCAAGTATATATCTCATGTCTCAGAATTTCACCACTATGAAAATGGAGAGAACAAATTAGCTGTATATGATCAGGCTCCCCATATACATATATAAAGCGTTCTCTTTTCTCTCCCGCCCACCCCCCAACATATGGCAATGTGATTTTTGGGCATTAAGATTGTTGATCTTTCTGATCTAAGATGAAGTATTTTCTAGTTGAGGATAAACTGTTTTGTCATTTTGTAGTGGAAAAGATATTTCTAACTTTGTTTAGTCCAGAGATGAGTATCAGGATTCAGGAAGCCTATCACGGAACATCAAAGGCTTAGCTGTGTAAAGAAGGTTAGGAGCTGTGTATGTAATTTTATTTCATAAGAAAAAGGTCTCTGTATGGTTTCACTCTAGGAAGTTTGTGGTATATGAAGTATTACGGGAGGATGAGTTTTCCCCGCTAAAGAATGCAGACAGTCAGAATGGGAAGGACAACCCTACAACTGCAAGGCATGCTTTGATGTCCCTTCACCATTGCTGGGTGCTCAATGCTGGGGGCCACTTCATAGATGAAAATGGTTCTCGCCTTCCAGCAATTCCCCGGTAAGTCCGTATCTTTTCTCATCGGTGTGAATACTTTCTTGGATTTCCTTTTGGAATTCATCCTCTCTTTCTGGTGTATGTCTAGATCTATTTTTAAAAAGCAGGATATTTCTGTGTGGACAGTTCCAGATGTGAAAGAGCAACACTTTGCCCATCATAAAGAACAGTAAACTTCACTTTCTCTTGCAGAGAAGTCACTTGTAAATTTCTTGGTTTTTTTGGAAACATTCCTACCGTGTCAATGAAATCCCACCTACTAGGTCAGAAGATAATCTGTTTTGGTGTTTTGTATGGTTAAAACCCACCAGCAACACACTCTACCACAGGGCATACCCCTCTGGCCCAGAGGATTGGTGATGCTGGTTATGTATGTGTGGCCTCACTACAGGTGTTGGCTGTGAAGCTCACCCAAAGCCTCACCACCTACAAGCTGCCTAAGATAGGAAGCCTTTCTCAGCACACATAAGGGAAGATGCTGGGAAGGGAAGTGGATGCCAGTTGCATTCATTGATACTCAAATTTCAGAAACATTTTAGGATTATCTAACATGAAAAGATATTTTCAACCAGTTAAGTTTAAGATATAGCACTTTTAAGCTAAATCTTGTATTTTATGATTAAACCTTTATTGGCATCTAGACTTTTCCTTTCTGAATTATTTGGTATTTCTATAGTTAGGTAAAAAGCCATTTAATTTACATTGTTAAAGGGAGAAACACCTGGCTGTATGCACAAGAGTTCTAGAAAGCCTCAGTGCAAGTTAGCAAGTTGAGCATGGGATCTCACTCTTCCGTAACTTATTACAAGAAGGAGCAGTGTTACCTTCTCCTGTCCTGGCCCAGGCCATTTACAGGCTCTGATTGTCAGCAAGCTTGCTCTGTGGCATGTCATGTTGTTCTCATGCTTCATCCTTGACCATTGAATGGCTTTGTTTTGTTTTTTTTTTTAGTCCCTTTAGGTCCCCTCTGCCAAATTTATGATTTTTCCATAAATACATGCCATTTGTTCAACTATGTTTTGCAACTCCATTGTTTGTTTGATTTGTTTCTGTTCCCATTAATGCTTGTTTATTCCTACATAGCAGTGCTACAAATGGAAAGTCAGAGGCCACCACAGCTGATGTCAATCACAAGTAAATATACCAGCCTGCCTGCAGTGCATGGTGGTGGGGCTGTGCTTCCCTCCATACTAACTGCATTATAGTTTAGAGCTCTGCCTTGTGGGGGTCTGGAGGGAGGATGATTGAAGCTTTGGTGGGGTCGCACTGCTTCCTTGGTGGCAGTTCTCTATCTGGATGCTGCTAACTCAGAATCTCAGTGCATGCCTGAAGTGGGGAGCATGCTTTTCTAAGAGCCTGGTCCATGGATATTTAAGCCCATAGTGATAGATTTACAGGTGTTATGTAGGCTCCAGGGGCGTTACAGGATGGAGAGAACAAATGGGATCTCAACCTTTTTAGCATAACTAGATAAAAGTAACCTTTAATTCTTTTTTTCCTTATTGCCCCTCTTTTGGTGTTGGGGATTAAGTTCAAAGCCTTTGCATTAAGTTATGTGATCAGCTATTGCTTTTTGTTTGTTTGTTTATTTTAAGATGTAAGTCACTAAGTTGCCCAGGGTTGGGCTTCAACTTGTGGTTCTGAAAATACAGGCATGTGCCATCACGTCTGGCTAAAAGTTACAGCCTCAAAATGGTTTTTACCAGATGGAGTATATGCTTTCAGTATAGCAACTTTATCTTGCTTCTAAAGCATTTTTTTTAGTCTTTTTTTTTTTTTGTACCAGAAATCAAATTCACAACCTCACACTAGCCAGGATGTCCCTGCTTCCCCCCTCCTCGCCCCCCTTTTTTTTTGATCTTCACAGCAGGTCCTTTTAGCCAGAAGTAGTATTATGCTCCCTTACCTAGGCATGATAGCTTTTAAAAGCCATCTTATATGGCTACAGAGATAGCATGGCATTCTCGCTGTGTTTTCAGAGTTACTAGGTTTAGTTTGAACTTAAGTTTTTAGAGTAAAGGGAAATGTGTCAGGGCAAAGGATCTGGACGTGGAGGTTGTCTCAGAAAGAGAGCAGCCCTGGTGACAGTTTTGTCCACACACTTTGCTGTGTCCTGCTGCTCATATTTGCCCCCTTCACTTGGTGGCAGGTGTCTGTCTAGACGACACCAACTCAGAATTCATGAGTAGTCCCAGTGAGAGCGAGTATCCTGGAGTAGAGAAGAGAGATTGGGCTCCAAGACCTGGCCAGTTTTCTTTAGGAGGCATAAGTGACTCTTATCATGGGTACAGGCATGCAAATCCCTTTGTCATTTTCTGTCTCACATCATTTTTAATTTGTAGGAGCGAGCTGCTATTGTGGGTTAGAAAGTATAACTTTGACCCTGAGTTTCCATATTATTGAACCAATGCTTTAACTTAAGCCTTTCAATTTAAAAGTGAAATTTTTAAAATTTACAGCTGAAAATAATGTCCAGGTATCTTGGTTAAGATACAAAAAGCTTTAAACATTATTTCATTTTTTTTTTTTTTTTTTTTTTTTGTATTTTAGGGAAGGGTCTACAGGGTGTTCAGGGTCTCAGTACTAGATGGGACTCATAGTGATTCTCCTGTTTACAGCCTCCAAAGAGCTGGGATTACAGGCATGTGACACCATGCCCAGTCTCAGTTGCAGTCTCAGTGTGCCCTGGGGCTGGCATGGCAGGCCCGAGCATTGAACCCCTGGCCTCTGCATCTGCTTGCAGGCACGTTAATCTGCTGAACTATTTGGCCAGCCCCTATTATTTCATTCTTGTTTGGGTGGTTTTATTTAGTCCTCACCCACCTGCCACTTACTTAAATGTTAGCCATTTGTAGAATAGTTACATTGATTTTGGCTCCAAATGACATCATAAATTTAGAAATGGTTCCTGCTAAAGTCTTCATTCCCAAAGGATCCCTTTAGAGAATTGGAAGAGATTATTTAAAAGTGAGATGGAAGGAAATATCCTGTGTACAAGAGATAAGAAACAATTTGGAAACATTGTGAAAGAATGGAAATAAGGCCACATGTTTTTCTTTTTCATGTTAAAGCTCTTGAGCAGTATTTACTTCTGAAAGGATGCTTGCCTGAGGAATCACTGTGCTCCTAGAAGAGAGGTTATCTATTCAGACCAGCTATCTGTGTGCTCCCTGGCTCAGAGCCACATTCTGATCTTGGTACCCTGACCTCCTCAGGGTTTTAGGTGGCACTGTGCTGTGTACATCTTCTCAGTGGAATGACCCCTCATTTTTCCCATTTGCCTTATTAGCCTGAGCTGCTCTAGAGGTCTGATACAGACATCTTGTGGTAGAATCTGGCACATATCTGAGAAGCTACATCCCCAATCTCTGCTGCTTTTGTCAACATTAGGCCATCAGTCGTCTTCCTTCGCAGTTCATTGATTCATTCAGTCCACGAGTGTTGGTAGGCCTGCCCATAGGTGCTTAAACTATCTTACATAAGAAAAATAGATTTATAGGCTGCTGAGCATTTAAGATGCAGTTCTATAAAAATTAAGCTACTTTGTCAGGCAATATGTGATTATGTATTATGTGATATAAATGGTACTTAATTGAGGTGGTGTGGCCTTAGCAGGTTGTATAATTTAGGTTTATATGAACAAATGAATGGGAATAATTATTCTCAAGAGGGGTTGGGATCTGATCTAAATCATGGAAGATGCATATGATTGTTGTAGTCTGAGAGACCAGTGTTGAGAATGACATTGGCCTGGTTCTAGTGGGAAGTAGCAGGGTTGAGTTGGAGCAGGACATGTGCAACACTGTGAATGCTGCTCAGCATCTCCACTTGGAGAACGACAGGCCTGTGATTAGCCTTAGAAACTGGCTGATTTTATTAATTCACCAAAGTTTCAGATTTTGTACTTGGGAAAGGAAGAGCTATAGCTCGAGGCTACAAGAGACTGGATTTTTATGTGTGATGTATCCTTATTGCTAAGATTGCTGAAACAGCAAGTACTGCAGCAGTCTCATGATGAAATGTATTGAAAACACATTTGTCAACTTTTATGTTAGATAACATAAAAATTGAGAATTGCAAATGGATATGAATATTAGATTGTTTCCTAGAATTAAGCGAACAGTCGTTTTGGCTTTGTGTTTGATTGGATGCATTTTGCTTTTACCCTTTTTAGAGACTTTGGGTAACAGAAGTACTTTGAAACATAGTAAGTGTATAATTCAGCCAATCTAGGAGATTAGGATTATACCAAAAAAGACACTGTTCTGGAAAGTAATTTAACTGACATTCAGAACAGAGCTGGCTCCTGGGACTTCCTGCAGTGAAGGAAACGAGCCCCTGTGCGGTCCACTTTGGTAGTCACCGGCCTCTCACGGCTGCTGAGCTCTTGAAATCTGATCATTGTGAGTGAGAAATTAATTTTTTAATTTTCAGTTAATTTTTAAAATGTTCAGTAGCCATCTATTGCTATGGGCTCCTGTATTGGACAGTGCTGCTCTGGATTGTTTGTCAGCATTAGTGCCTGACTTCGAAGATCGTAGTGAAGAGAAAAATAAAGTACAGAGGATTCAGGACACCTGCTGTGGGTCAGCATAATACACACTCAGTTGCCCCATGTCAGTTTATGTGAAAATGCGATACTCTATGTTCAAGGGGATAACGTGTAAGTATTTGTGAAATACTATAAGGAGCAGTCAGTGATTGGCACATCTCCATTGTGTCTTTTTGAGAATAAGAATTTCATACTAAATCCATCCTCGGGGCGTGTAGTTGTGCTCAGCTAGGAGCCATTCCATGTTTAGGAAAACTCTGTCATCTGCAAGCTTCTCAGGATGGCTGCTGTTTATATTTTCACTCTGGCCTGTAGCAGGGGAAGCAAAATCTTTAACATGTATTTGGACTTTTTCTTCAGCTTGAAGGATGCCAATGATGTACCAATCCAGTGTGAAATCTCTCCTCTTATCTCTTATGCTGGAGAAGTAAGTTCACTTTGCTCTTTTCTCTGTTTCTTCTTTAAAGCCTTGTGTGTTTCTAAATAGCTCAAAGATAGTGAGTTTTAAAAGTTCTCACTACAAAGAAATGGTAAATGTTTGAGGAGGGATCTATTGATTTAGCCTGATTTAACCATTCCACATTGTGTACCTGCATTGTAATAGTACACTGTACTCCATAAATATGTATAGTTATTTGCCAGTTAAAAGTAAGATAGTTCTTTTTTTAAATGTAGGATTTGTGTATTGTTTTATGTTTAAGTACAGTTGCCTTTAGAAAAGATGCAGTCCCTTTTAACAATTCTGCCCTAAGGCATTCTTCCTGGAGTGCACAAAGAAGTTTAATGTGTTCTGAATTCTGGTCATGTTTTTGCATCTGTCCTCTAATTTGTCATTTATAAGAGCCTATATGTTTAGATCATTTCAGTTATTCATTGAAATGTATTAGGCTTTAAAAATAATGAGCCTTATTTTAATACACTAAGTTTTAAAAATCTGCAATGAGTCTTACTTTTGGATAATTTTTTTTGGATACTTTTTTTTTTTGCGGAACCAGGGATTGAACTCAGACCCTTGCGCTTGTCAAGGAAGCGCTTATTCCACTGAGCGATCTCCCTGGCCCCTGGATAATTTTTTAATGTAATATAACTTTCCTTTCATGGTATCTGTTTTGTTCATGTGCTTAGTAGTGACACTTTTAAACTTGAGGAGTTGAGGGTTCCCTATTGTTCAGGCTATGTAATATTTTTTTCTGGAGATCATGTCTCTATTAGTTCTAGCATCAGAGGTTGTCTTTTTAAACAAACAAACAGATTCTCACTGTGTAGCCCAGGCTCACCTTCAACTTGGAACAGTGCTGCCTCACGCTTCCTGAGTGAAGGGATTACAGGTGTGCATACTGTACCCTGTCAGAGATAGCCTTCTTGCTTATTAAAAGTTAGTTTTATTGAGCAGTGGTCATGGTAAAGATGAATATCTTGAGTCTAGAAATCATATTACAATCTTAGTTTAGCATCTTATAGTCCTGGGTTCCGTTCATTCCCCAGCACCAGCACCCCCTCCCTCACACAAACACACACATTATGATCAGAATAACTTTCTTTGTTGTTTCATGCTTTTATAAATCAGTCATTGAGTCTAATTTTAAAAGTATATAAAATATATTTTCAACTTTTAAATTCTTCATAACCAACCAACTTGAATCATGGTTCAAGTCTTTACTACTAAGTCTAGGATTGCACCAAATAATATTGTAACTGTGTTTTATGTTAATCCTCCATTTAGGGGCTAGAAAGTTACGTGGCAGATAAAGAATTTCATGCACCTTTAATCATTGATGAGAATGGAGTCCATGAGCTGGTGAAAAATGGCATATGAGTCATGTGCCAAGTTCTGCCACAACAGGGGATAGCTTTTTGTTTTTAACAGCCCAACTGTGAACCTACAAGATACGTCCTGGAAGACTGAAGTTGGAACCTTCACAAGGTTTCATTTTGCTCGTTGAACTCTTAGAACTATGACAAACTTCCCAAGATCCAGATGACTGAACTTTAGATAGCATTTTTATGATTCTCAATTCATTGAAGATCTTATTTATATTTTTCAATTTATCTGATTTATTTCCTAGTCAAGGAAAACATTTGCCATCTAGGAAATTTCTCATAGATCAAGTATAGCCAGGATGTTCAATATCACTTTACTTTGACTGGAAGCTTTTGTTTTTGAAATTGTACATAGTAATAATATGTCATTGTATATGTCAGAAGGTTTTTATGGTACTAAAAGTTTGTTTTATTTTGTCAAGCATTAAACTTTTTAAAGAAAATAATTGAATGGTAAAATAAACTTACTTTCTTGTCTCTGGAGTGTTATTTGCACTTTGAGGAAATTATTGCATTGGGAAAATGTGAAACTTGGAGGAAACTTTGAGATAAGCAATGAGAACAAGCTGATGCTTCTGGTGGGTTGCAGAGTCAGAGCTTTTTTCAATGAACATCCAATTTGGTGTCTTTTTCTCTTACTTTATATTAGATCTCAACTGAAGATGATTTCTCTCTAAGGGGCACATGGTAATGTCTGGTGACACTTAGGACGGCTACAGCTGGGACGGAAGGTATCAATTCTGATGTGTAGGATGTTGCTAAAATCCTACAATAAAGAAGTATCAAACCCAGCATGTCAAATGTCACAGTTGCAAAGCTCTTGTTTTAAATAATTCATTTCAGTTTTGCCCAAGTATTTTACTTAGGCAAATTTCTGGATTTCCTCAGTAAATAATCACTACTATTTCTGTGTTTTGTTTTGTTTTGTTTTCCTTTTTGCAGCTAGAGGATTAACAAAGGTAAAGGTCACCTTTAAATGTGAGTTATCACTGATTATTAGGGTTCTCTGTATTTGAAATGCTGTTTGCATGAAAATATTGAACTTTATCAGTGCATTTTTGAGTTAGGCATGGTGACACATGCCTCTGATCCCAGTACTCTGGATTATGCATACTCTGGGAGAAGATGATAAGTTTGAGCCCAGCTGGGCAATTTAGCAAATTAGTAAGATCCTCTCTCTCATAATTTAAGAACAAAATAAAACAGAAACAGAGAAAAGGGCTAGAGATATAGCTCAATATGAAAGCTTTGAGTTTAATCGCTAGTAATGCAAACGAAAACTGAATTTTACACAATATTTATATATTGAACAAAGTATAAAAAATCTAGAGATTAATTATTTTCCACTAATAAATTGTCACAAGATGGGATGTTATGCATGAGTCTTTAAGGATCACTTTAAAGAACAACATATGATACTGAGATTTTTTTTTAATCTATGGCATAGTGTATCTAGCGTATTTTCTGATAAATTTGTTTCAGTAATAGTGCAGTTTTGCTATTATAGCTATTAGTCTTCAAAGAAAAGTTTTGTGAAATTTGAGTTCTCATTTACAATGACCTCCAAATGGATCTAGAGGACAGAACTCTGAGTGTTTAGCTCTTGAATGTATGATTATTTATTTATTTATTTGAAACTCCATCTGGTATTTCTTCTCTGCCTTTAATATGCCAGTAAACTGAGAGAAAGGGAGAAATGGAAGCCTGATGTAAACTGGATTGTCCACTTGATTGACTTTAGAACTGCCCAGGAGAGCAGTAAAGCACATCTGTGACTGTGTCCATGTGGGTCATGGAGTCCTGAACTTGGGGACTACATCTCGTCCCAGACCTTTTCCTCTTAGCACTGTTCCCCTGTTCTGCCTCCTGGCCACTGTGAACTAAGCAGCTTTTCTTCCCCAAACCATTTTGCCATGATGTTTGTCTTAGAGTCAGAGATGAATAAACTTATCATTTAAGTTCTGTGTGTCAGGTATATTATCCAACAATGGGAGAGCTGATTAATACACAGAGGATTGTGGTAGTGTTTGTACTGGAGAGGAGCAGTGGCCAGGCAGTGTCAGATAATTAAGGGCAAAGAATCTCAGAGCCCTTGTGGCATGAAATTACACACACAGACACCTTGTCAAAATGTCCTAATTTTAAAAATGCATAGTTAGATTAAATGTTTATAAAATGTGAACTAGGATCATTTGTCAATAGTGTAAAATCTATAATCAGAGTTCAGTCAACTCTGGTGAAATCACATCCATGGTGTATTAGTAATGTTACTGATGGACACAAGATGTAAACCAATGAATGTGTTCTGTGACTTCTGGAAGATGGGAAAAAGACTTCATTTTCAGTCACTGCTCCCACTCCCAGAAATTTTTTAGATTTTTAGTCATATTACTTCTAGCCTTAAGTTACTCTTTTTGATGGTTCATCATTGTAGTTAGCAGAAATCCAGGTAAAAAGGCAAAGAAATCATGCATAATTTAGGAGAGTGACTAAATTATGAGTCGATCCCTCTCAGCCTCTGGAGTGCTGAGCAGTTTGCTTAGGAATCTTTGTTTTTCTGTTGGCTGAGACATGTTTTTGCACTTCATGGGCCTTCTTAGGAAAATACATTGGGAAGTGACAAATGAATGAGTCACTGAACCTGTAAGAGGTCCAGCACTGTCAAAAAGTATAGCAGAGTCTACTCCTTACAAAGTTTGAATACTAAGGGCCGGCCACATAGCTCAGTAGACTAAAGTGCCTGCTTAGGCAGAGCACCGTTTCTGGGATTCAGTCCCTGGTGTGCTGTGCCAGCTCAGCCCCCAGGGTGTGCTGAGATGTTGATTGACACTGGGCATAGTGGCTTGTGCCTGTAATCCTAATCCTTGGGAGCCTGAAAACAGGAGGGTCATTATGAGGCTGATCTATGAGTCCAAGTACAATCTATGTAGTGAGACCCTGTAGACCCTGTATGAAATGCATCAAAACAAAACAAAAAACATGGGCTGGTGAGATGGCTCAGTGGTCTAAAGTACCTACTTAGAACAAGCTTAGCAAAGCACAGGGACCGTGGTTCAATCCCACAGCACCACATGCCAGCCAGCCCCGCCCCCTGGTGGGCTGAGTTGGCCACACACACACACACACACACACACACACACATATAAAAATTAAAAAAAAATTTGCATTCTAGGGAGAGGTGAACTTAATTCATGATACAATGGAAAGGTAGAATTAAGCTCATTAAATCACAAAGGTGGTTGCTGGCTGAGTTTCTTAAGAACTCCATTGTATTAGGGTTCTCCAGAGATAGGCAATTACACAAACTGTCACAGTCCTAAGTGCCTCTAGTGCTGGGTCCTGATCAGGTGTGTTACCTTCAGCAGGAGACTTGCTAAAAAGGCAAGTGCTTAGGATTTCTGTATTACACTTTTGGAGATGGGAAATTTGGGGTTTACCAGTCCTTAATGGTGGTTCTGATACACATCGTAGTGTACAGACCATCAATAGAAGACAATCCAAAGAAGCTAATTAAAAGTTCAGGGGCCAGGAAAAGACCATAAGTTACAAAACAGATATGTCTCATGTAAGCTGTATTTCTCAGACTCCAAGGATGGTCACACTGCTGCAATAGATAGAACTCTCAAGAACAGATCAGGAGTATTATAGCTGCTAGAAGAATGGTTTCCAGATAAACTACAAGTTTTTTTTTTTTTTTTAATTCTATCCCAGAGTTTATGATTCCATGTCTGCTGGAAGGTGTGGGCATCTAATTTAAAACAGGCCTTAGATGACTGCAAAGGGCAGCTAGGAGTGTGAATCATTGACTTGGATGTATAGACAGGAATCAACAGGAGAGGATGAGAAGGAAAAAGGAGTTCAGTCTGGCTAAGAAGATTAGATAAGGGAAGAAGGATAGAGTGAGTAACATTTCACTTGAAGAAGAGCCAAGGGTAGGATGGAATGGACTGGGAAATGGGCATTCCATGGATGATTCTACTGTACAAATACAGGCCTGTGAGAATTACCCTGAATAGAGCTGTTTCTAAATTTCATCCTCAGATTCATTGCCTGATGTAGAGGTCAGAGTGCTGCAGAACAGAAGGGAAAGTTAACTTGGTTTAAAAATATTACCAATTTTAGGGTGAATGAAGAGTAGAAAGTAAAATAGTATGTTTAGGTGATGGTGGCATTGTCTTTCACAAATATTTGGGTGATGCATTTTTAATTTTATGATAGTTTTAGCAGGACTTGAACAATAAACAAAGTGTTCACAACGTCTTAGGTGCAGCTGTGAAGGAACTTGGAGGTAAATTGGCTGTGGGGAAATTAAGGCAGGAAATTAACACAAGTAGATCTTCCAAGAGTGGAGTGTTCATCCTGCATCTTTGTGGTATGAGAAAATGCAGTCTTTACTTGCAACTTTCTCTAACATTAAGCACTTAAAAAAACTCTGCATACAAAATATAATAATTATGACTCAGAGCAATGAATGAATGAACAAATGAATGAATGAATGAATGAAATATACTGTACAAATTCAAGGTAGGATCCTGTGAAATACAGCCTTTCTGCAAAAGGCCTACTTCATGTCCTCTGATGTATAAGTTTAATATATAATGTCTTATTAAAACTGAAGTCTGTCTTGCTAAAAAGCTCTGGGAGTCAGTGGTGACATAAATAATGTATATATAGATGTAGTATTGTCAAGATTCTGGACAAAGATGGATAGCAAAGAATAAAAAAACTATTTTCACAATTCATTCTTTCTACATTGACTCCTTTTATTTCTATCTAAGTGATTCTACTTCCCTGGAATGTTTCTCCTCAGAATTTCTTCAGATGGGCAAGGATTTTTTTCATTCACTAAATGATGTGTACAATTCATACTATATGTCTTTGACACAGTAAAATACATAAGAAATATGGATGTTAAAATGATTTGATTTTTTTTTTTGGAACCGGGGAGTGAATCAGGTCCTTGTGCTTCCCAGGGAAGCTCTTACTCCATGAGCCATCTCCCCGGCCCCAAAAAGCAGAAGGGCACAGCAACCTGAGCCTGATTGCTTTGTTGAAGCAGCCACTTAAAGAATTGAGCTAAGGGGCAGGCCCCCCAATGATTTGATTTTCAAGTTTAAAATATTTTAAATTTATATACTTAAAGATCTGAAATTTGATAGAGACTGAATTTCATGATTATAAACAGTATTAGGACATTAGTATGGCCAGGATCTTATGACATTAACCCATGGGCCAGGTACAGTATAAGCACTTTACATACATTGTCTCATCGAGGTCTTAGTACTTTCCTATGAAATGGGAAATTTTTTGTTCAGTCTATGAGGAAACTGAGACTTAAGAATTAAGTGAATTGCCTAAATTACATACCAGTATGATTTGTGTCTGGGTGTCCCTCAAAGCCTCATTCAGTCATGGAGCGTGGGCTTTTTGGAGGCTGCTGATTCTAGAGTTTGTGATTGTTTCATAGTCTCCATGGGATTAAG